AAGTGTATGTTTTTCATACAGTTGTCTATATGTATGGTCTGTAAGATATAGATCGATCTTTTTAATGTTCAGATTATGTGGGGTTTTTTTAATAATAATTATGCTTATCCCTCTCTTGCTGATTGACATGTGTTTAACCTACAAAAAGGAGTTCAAGTTTACATTTAATACATTTTCCTTTGATCGGCTCTCCTGGCAACTGATGGTTATGATCGACGGGTATACGGTAGAAGTTTCCTCAATTTTTGGCATGTCTACGTCAGCCTCTCATCTCTCTATCACAAGTGGTTACATATCCGCTGTTTTAATTCTCTCAGACAAGTTACTGTCTTTGGAAGATACAGGCGACAAAATGAGAGTCATTCAATTTTTGAATTGATTTACAATCTGTGCAGCTTATACATGATGACTATAACATTAGGACACGTATAAAGTCATCCTAAAAATATTTTTTTGATAATAAGCAATGTAAGAGTAACGCCCCTTGCTTAACCTGGAATCTACATGGCGTCTGTTTATCGATCGTTTCCCACAATCATCTTATATAAACTGTAAAATAATTGTCTGTTAATAGAGAGTAAATAACACCAAAATAGACATATATAATATATTGAACGACACTAATTTCATTTATTCGCCGATCGCTAGTTTTAAGACGCGCGATAACATAGCACTCCAGTGTACGTGTGGCACCTTTAAATAACGTTATTTAGTAAAAGACATCTCAAACAGTGGTCATAATATTTACTGGAATTATGTTTAATATAATTATTATTGTACATTTATGAGCACAGTCAAAATCACTAATGAGAACGCCCATTGCTGTGAGTCTACCTCTCAAACACCCAAAATGTTTACATCAGTGACGTCATTTTGCAGAATTTATAGGTTACAGCATTTCTATGCAAAAATATGAACGAGTTTTTTTACGGATTATTACTGCACGACCTTGGGAGTGCCAGCATTCATCCGACAAAACGAGTTAATATTTTCCCATACAATTGCAGTAGCCTTTTAATTATATACTAATTTTCTTATTCTACCTAAAGAACAATTGTAAAAATTATCGGCAAGAAACAATGTAAAAAAATTATGCTGTATTCCAAAATATACACACAACTATATATTTTCAATAACAATAACAACATCAATGCGCACAAAGCACCATCCTGCGACCTATGAACTTAATTTCATGTACGATATCAGTTTCACAAACAACTGTGGTTCTGTTCATCTGCAAGTGTGTTACGGTTGTCATTGAATGTTTGCAATTATCGTGTGGGATAAATATGAACTCTTTCAATTGTAATATAAAAGAGACGTTATGAACTATCACGTTCATTTACTTTTGAGTGTAGTAATGAGAATTTTATTTGTGTTGAAAATGCAGTTGAAATTGCAGAACAGTTTTTAAGTGTGTAATGAAGGTTTAGAATCAAAGACATAGCTCATGTAATTCTGACTTGCAGAGCTTAGAAAGTACATTTTGAGTAAATTCAGGATCTAAAATTATAAATATATATTTTGCCATTCTTTGTACCAACTGAAGAAGGTGCGTTTTTGCCTTGTCAGTTTGATGCTCTTTGTGCGGACCCCAGCAATGTTATGACCTGTATGACGTCTATTGTTAGCCTAAATCCTAAACATTGTATCGCTAGTCTAAATCCGAAACATTGTATCAAACAAAGGTAACGCGGAATATTTCAAAACAGCACGTGTATGGCAGTCCATGAAACAACTGCTTTAGTTCGTTTAGAAACAAATTTAATCAACCAAAACCTAAGGCAGCTAATACAAGAGTTTTCATGATTTGTTTATAAAGTGGTCCTTAATGCACTATACTACTATTGAGCACACATATAGTGAAAATGCGTGGAAACTGAAGGGAACCAATACCGTAAAATATTGCATGATTCTGATATTGTAAAGTTAACGGAGACAAAAAATGAGCATATAATAATACTACTTATCACATGTTCGGTACGCGTTGAGTATGATTATGCTGTTGCATGTGTTTTTTGTTCAATTTATCTATCACATACCTTCAGTCTTTAGTTCCAAAGTCCCATCTTCAGCCAGACCAGAAATAGGTTTTTGTGACATTGCTGTACCCATCATGCCGTTTTAATTGACTGTGGACTGAGATATTTTGACTAGTTGATGTGAACCGTGAAATTAGCACAGTTTAGATTTTTGGCATAGACTGTAACGAGAGAGAAAACACTTTCAGCCAAAATTCATGTAAGTAACTACTTTTTAAATTAGTAATTACTATAAAGATGTTACCTTGACACTACATGTTTGCCCACGAAAATAATTATGTGGGTTCGTGTATGAAGTCTGAGCTAAACCATGTTATCAGTGTGTGTCAGGTCTAAACTCAACCATTCTATGAATCTGTATTACGTCTGAGCTCAACCATGCTATGCATCTGTGTTACGTCTGAGCTCAACCATGCTATGCATCTGTATTACGTCTGAGCTCAACCATGCTATGCATCTGTGTAATTATTGAGCAATAAATACCTTGCCAATCCAACAGCATTGAATACACAGATAAGATATAAAAAAATTCACACAGTTGTGAAACCAGCTGACATTAATGTGCATGTATGTACTGCTACATTCAAACGCTATTGCTACATATTAGTCCCACCCACCCCAGTTGTGAACACACATAACATGTGTATTCACGCAATTTATAATCACATAAAAATACTGATACTTACAAAATCTCAATAAATCACTTAAAATCTAATCTTGAATTTATGCCATCTATCCATTTATATCGTCTTCGCTCCCTGGGCAAAATCATGTTACTATAAACAAAAAAGTCAAATACTGCAGAGAATTTCTTTAGCATATGGCGACAATCTAGGTTATGAATATATTGCCTTACCTACAGGTCAAACTTTTTATACCAAGAATAAGATCCCGTACCTGGGTGAAATATGTTATTGCAAACAATTACGTTGTGACTTTTTCGGGGATCGAATGATTTCTGTTGCGAGATGAATACCACATTCATGTGGTTTGTTCAATTAAATGCATGAATGAAGAATAAAAGCTCAGTTATCAATACAAAATTTCGAATATATATATATATATATATATATATATATATATATATATATATATATATATATATATATATATATATATATATATATATATATATATGCAATAAACTGACGACGAACAGTGCAAAACTAGTACATAACTAACCTGAAGGCTTTCGACTCCTTATGAGTCATTTTCAAAGTCATATACAAAACAAACAAAAAAAATACAAAAACGTTGTGTTCGAAAACCTCCACATGTGCGAGATTCTTTTTTATGCGGGGGCACCAGACTAATTCTCTCTCTCTCTCTCTCTCTCTCTCTCTCTCTCTCTCTCTCTCTCTCTCTCTCTCTCTCTCTCTCTCTCTCTCTCTCTCTCTCTCTCTCTCTCTCTCTCTCTCTCTCTTTCTCACACACACACACACACACACACATAGCCAAAAAATGTGTTTTATGTGTTTTTGTATTCCTCATTTTAGGTGTTGTATGTGTTTTAATTTGAAAAAGAATTTTAAAAAATCTCAATTTTGAGTGGTGTATTTTGTAGTCCCTGGTGTTTCTTAAGGATGGGTTTCCCTTTCTGGTTTCAATCACCAGAGTAGGAAACTTCATCATCATTTCTTATTCAGTGACCTTTTCCAAAGGTCCCCATGTCCTGTGTTTGCTGTCTGAGTGGTGCTAAATTGTGTGTATGTTATAGATGACATGTAAGGACGGCAAATATATCAAATTTCCATATAGGTTCCTATTATATTCTTAATGTTGATAAACCATTAGTGAAGGTTCATTGTCGCTTGTTTTTAATTTAGACATTTGTTTGAGAAACGGTGCGCTAATAACGTTTGAAAAACCTAATATTTTATATGCGTGCTTTATGATGTGTCATTTCATATTTAAATTATCGATATGGGAGGCTGATCATAAGGCTTGTATTAAAAGGAACCAACTGTTTGTTATTTTTTTTTATTTCGCTGACATTTTCTCGCATCAATGAGCAAGTCGTATTCCACACACTTCATTGATTAAGCCCAAAATAATATTTTTGTCCAAAAAGAAGTATTTGAAAGTATAGATATTGTTCAGTGTTACTCCGTGCTTTTCCATGGAATCTTTTTACTTGCAATTGTCTCCTTTGTGTATGCGTATTGTTTGTTATTATTCTTCACATGTACATTTCGGAGGCTTTTCCACCGGCCTTCTCACTTTGCGTACCTCCCTGTGATATCGTCCGGTGCCGTTCCTGTCTCCTACTTCATGCATGTACTGATCCTTGTCTCTTTAGATGCTTAATGGAATACTTTACTCTCATTGACAAAAGAAAATAACATACTGCATCTAATTGCAATTTATTTTTGTTTTATGTTAAAGTACATAAATGGCTATTCCTTAAATTAGAAACACAGATACAATCCTCTGTGCTCCTCGTTAGGCTTCGGAATAATATCCTTATTTTGTATTTACAATATGTAAATATTTTCACTCCACAACATGTACATTAAATAGTTTTTAGACAACAGACACGTTCTTTGAATGTGAAAAAGTTATGTCACAGATTCGTTCTATGTTGATATTACATACGTAGTAGTCAAGTCTGAAATGAAAATAAATGGAGCCATATATCGTGTCTGAGTGTGTGTGTGTGTTTCTGTGTGTGTGAGAGAGACAGACAGACAGACAGACAGACAGAGAGACAGAGAGAGACAAAGAGAGATTTGGATTTTTAACGATGCTTTAACAATGTTTCAGTGATATTGCTATAATATTTGCAGTGTGGCAGATTATAGTGATGTCTAGCAAGGGGCCATCATGCCGCAGATATGTAGCATGATGTCCCATCCAGTCACATTATCCCGAAACCAGGCCGACCAGTCCCAACACTGACCTTCAACGTTGAACACCAAGGGAAGCATTTGTTAGTACCATTTTTACAAGTCCTTGATATGACTCAGCCGGGGTTCAAACCCATTACCTCCCGCATCCGAGGCAGCCGCTCTATCCACTAGGCCACCGTAGTGGCCAGTCATCGTATTTATAGGTTACTGCATTTCTATGGAAAAATATGAACGAGTTTTTTTCGGATTATTACTGCACAACCTTGGGAGTGCCAGTATTCATCCGACAAAACGAGTTCATATTTTCCCATACAATTACAGTAGCCTTTTTATTATATACTCATTTTCTTATTCTACCTAAGGCACAATTGTAAAAATTATCTGCAAGAAACAATGTAAATAAATTTATGCTGTATTCCAAAATAAATACACAACCGTAGATTTTCAATAAACAATAACAATATCAATGCGCACAAAGCACAATCCAGCGACCTATGAACTTAATGGCACTCTCGATATCGGTTTATAAAAGAACTGTAGTTCTGTTCATCTGCAAGTGTGTTTCGGTTGTCATTGAATCTTTGGAATTATTGTGTGGGATAAATATGAACTCTTTCAATTGTAATATAAAAGAGACGTTATAAAATATCACATTCATTTACATTTGAGTGTAGTAATGAGAACTTTATTTGTATTGAAAATGCAGTTGAAATTGTTGAACAGACGGTAAAATGCAAGCGAGCTTTGCAAAGGAGTATACCTTTAAACGTACATTTTAATAACATGATAGCACCTCCCCCTTGAAGCTATTTTAGCAAAGTAAAGAAAGTATTTTAGCTACTACTTTTTTCCAGAAAATTAAGTACTAACTTAATATTTCTGGTAATATCTAAACCTAAACTTGTGTCTATGTCCTCCGCATAGCTGTTCTAGTAATTTTAATCAGTAATGCATTTCTTTAACACTTTCTTATATCTTACAACACATTGCTTTCATTTATCTCTGCATCTGCATTTACATTTGTTTTCGCTTCTCCTTTATCTTTGTCTGAACTTCCATCATTTCCTTCTGAAGCAGATGCTTTATTAATTCAATTTCTATCTGGATTTTATCTGCTCCTTTTCCTTCCTTTCAAAATCAGATACACGCGTACTAATCAAACCCAATTTACTATTATAAGCTATACAAAACATTACTAAACAAGACGACAGTCCATGAAGACAACAACTACCCAAAGCAGACTGAGAGGATTGGCATAATTCTATCACTGAAAGAAGGGGCAGGGCATATGCATACCACCATGTAGCCGTTGTCCCAAGATTGATGGAACCTTTATTGACCATTGCATGTTGGAAATACATATCCTTCTTTATCAAAATCAAAGAACAAAGAATTTATATAATACATAAAGATTGAATATATTTACAATCATCCTTGACAACAAGCCAATTTATGTGAACATCATAATAAACTGCAAAGGAGTTTATTATAAAATGAGTACGCGTATGTTTCTAAAAGCATTTAATTAAGACATTAAAGTAGCTTAAGAAAACAGTAAAAATGCATATTCTATATGAGGGAATGGAATTGATTATATTATTTCTACAATTGGATAAGATATAATGAGATGGGTCATTCCTTAGCCTCGCATGCAAACGCAAAGTTCTACTCCAAGAAAAAGGTGGCCATACCCGCGCTCAAATTAGTCACATATGTCAACTAATTCTGTAAAAAATGTCAACATAAATATGAGTTCAAAACTCTGACTATATAACAAAAGCATAAAAATTATATTGACTATAAAAAACGACTAAAGGAAAAGGTAAATAATAGATTTGATGTGTCGCAAAGCAACATTGGGTTATGTCCCTTATGTTAGGAATGATGATAATGAGTCTGTTGTCAAGGTGCAAACTGAATTGGGCTTAAATAGCGGAAGCAGAAATAGGGAAATAACAAATAATATATACAAGCCAAAAATACAGTTAGAAAAAATAGAAAAAACAAGAACAAAGAGGAAAGGAAAACCATATATTAAAAAATCATATATATATATATATATATATATATATATATATATATATATATATATATATATATATATATATATATATATATATATATATATATATATATATATATATATATATATATATATATATACTAGTAGCTAACTAACCTGAGCGCTTTCGACTCCTAATCATTCTTTTTCAAAGGCACATACAAAACACAGACAAAACAAACAAAAAAACATAAAAAAAAACGTTGTGATTGTAAAACTCTTCATGGCTATCTCTACATGAATTATACCTATAGATACATTATGTCTCAACCAACCGGTATAGACTTATTGCGAAAAAAGTCTCTACCTGCCGCTTGAGACATAATTTATCTATAGATTTAATGACTTAGTAGGGTCAAAAACGAATATGTTTTAGAAACCCAAAATGCGATAAACGTTTCTTCTAGATAATTGGTCAGGGTAGCATTTTACCTTCTTGTCTTTTTTGTTGCGGAACAAGATGTTAGCAAGGGAACTAACTAATAAATATTCAATTTGGATGACAACAAAATTATTCTCCCTTTTGTCTAATTTTCACGTAAGTTAATTAGGAAACTGAAATTGTGTTGTTTTTTTTTATAGCCAGTCAAATGGTGTAAATACAAAATTGTGATTTATAGCTCCTGTGGAATGAAACTTTATATTTTACATAATTAGCTTTTTCATTTGGAAAATGTAACTGATTGTAAGGAAAGTACGAGTAGCTGTCATGTTGGCTGTTTCTTTCTGGGGGTGTGACAGTATGCTCGTTACGTCTATATATATATATATATATATATATATATATATATATATATATATATATATATATATATATATATATATATATATATATATATATACATTAAGCAGATGACTTGTTTTTTTTGTTGTTTTTTGGTTGCTTTTTTAATATTATTTTAGATTTTCTCCCTCACCCATTACTACAAGGTATGCATTAGAAAAATGTAGTTAAAGCAGTGTAACTAAACTTAAATATAATTTTACAGCCTATAAGTGTATTATCAAATATGTAATTGAATACAGTTTTGGAACTCGGAACTACAGGACATTTTCTCAGCCAGGTAGAAACGACATGTAAACTGCATGCGCGGATACACTTTAAAGAACTCAAATACCATGTATATTTCTCAACAAGGAAGACATGAAAGTTTAACCGTCAATGTTTTTACACATGATGTCAACACTGTCAGGTTCATTGGTGTCTAACATATTTACCAATATTACATTTTTGTATCTATGTTTGAAATTTATTACTGGCTTTAACAATGTTAATAGTCAAGCGTAAGTTAAATAAGTAAAAGTTTCAGCATTGTATGTATAAAAATTACAGAAATTTTGTTTAACCTATCGTGTTTGAAACAATTGTGTGCGGGGTTTTCCCTGTTTATACATGCATGATAATTATTCTGCGCCTCAATAGACTGTATATTAATATGTAGTCACCAGATACGGACTTATCGTAGAAATCTGTGTACTGCGTGAAAGGTTGTTTTTCTTCTTTTTTACGTTTGTCTAAAGTTGACTTAGAATTAGCATTTAAAATGTTTCAAAACCATGAATGAAGTTATACTCGACTCCAGACCACTTGTACATTTTGCAAACAATATTCTGCATCTAAATCAAGTCATACTTAGATGCTGTATTGAGAATATATAAATCGATATTATTTACCTACCCAAGTGTCTGCCCTTACAGTTGGCTTCCTAGAGCCATAGCGTTCCGCATACCGGATGGATGTATGAATGGAGGGAGGGATCGATGGATGGATGTTGAGCTTTGAATGACCAAAGGTTGATGGGTCAAGGACACCTAAGCTTTAACTGAGATTTTAATATGTACTTCTCATCAAGCTGCATTTGTTGGCTGCTTTTAATTAAGATCATCTTCTAATGATATCTTATGGTCAAAGGTCAAGGTCATCACAATTATTTATATAAATGCATACATACTGAAGGTCGACTCGGAATTTTCTGTATAGTATCATTCCTGTAATTTCATTATACTATTATCATCAGCTATTTGTTAAGAACAATATGTTGATTTATGCTCTTTGTTGTACTGCAAATGTCAATTTACGATCTTAGATGGAATACACATAATATACGTTTTATAGCCGGTGTCTTACTTTTACATTGTGTACTGAGACTGTGATTTCATCTTATATTCAATTACTGGAATAGATGGGCGCTATGTAGAAAAATAATTTGACGTTCATACAAATTTCTGCAAGATGGATTCTGTTGTTTTTTTTCTCGCTAATCAAAAGTGTAATATGGTTTAAGACGTCGAACAGCTACACTTCAAATATAATCAGAGCGACCACATATACTTCAACAAGATAATTAAATATGATGATATATGAAATTATATTTTTTGACCCTACAGACAAAACAATAATAAATTTTGAACATACCTACCCCCCCCCCAACAAACAATAAACTTTGATAGAAAAATGTTCTGAGTATTTTGACTTCCCATGTGAATTGTGCTTTTTCGTTTTGATGGATGAGCTTGACTTTTAATAATCTGTGATGGACCTTGATTGTCTCACATTGTGGAACACTATCTAATCAATCGTCCATCGCACCATATCTGAGGCAAGCATCTGCGTATAACGCACCGACTCATTCTCCGCGTTGTGACAGCCTTCCTGATGGAGAACACCATCCACATTTGCCCACTTCCTCCATACAGCCCTAATTAGGTCAAAGTGACTATTGACTGAATCCCGTTCTTAAAAATGATAATGCAAAACTATTTTAACACTTAGATAATGAGACAGAGAAAGTGTGTAGAAGTGCATTGTTAGTGTAGTGAAAGGATCCATTGACGTTCTGTTCATTAGTAAAGAACATTGTTGAAAGCCGCAATAATATTCATAAATCTTTAATTACCCATCGTTCCGCATTCTTGCATAGGATTACACACTCTTGTCTATCCTGTAACTAACAACGTAATGCAAGGGTATCTCCTGATTTCCTCAATAGGAATAATTATTTTCTCGCTATATAGAAGGCTTAATTTCGCATTTTGCAAATGAACACAGCACCTGGTGTTAGGCAGTATGAAATACAAGAAAAATTAATTTAGCCTTGCCCAATCTATGGAGCTTGGTTAATGTAAGA